TTAGTATTCATGAAATAGCATCTCATCCGGTTAGATGACCGCGATCGTTTGGGGAGAAGTGCCGCAGCCGTCTCAGACCTGGAAGATCGCGGGTTCGAGTCCCATCTAGGGCATGGGTGTATTTGTGTATCTTCCTGTCCCCCCTTACCATCTTCATCTTATCGTCCATACCCCCAAGGGTAACAACCATGGGGGATAAAAATCGGGATTAAGCAACAAAAAATGCGACCCCCGCCCAGAAAGGTATTTGCAACTGTTGAAGCAGGATGCCTATACATGAAGCATTGGCCTATACATGAAGCTTCTGCATGTGGTCAAATTGCTAACACTGTGCTGAGTAACGAAGGCCCTTTTCAAGAAGTATTTCAATATTCAATCTTATATGCAGACGCCTTCATTGGGTAGAGCAGATGCGGCGTCTTTCCACGCCCCCACTGAAGTCGGGACCCAAAAATTTACGCAAAATTAATTTTCTTCAATAAAGTTTTAAAGAAAGTACATTGAACAATAGATAAAATATAATTCATTTTTTCATTATTTTTTAAATGTAACAACAACAACAACAACAAGAACAACAACAATAATAATAATAATAATAATAATAATAATAATAATAATAATAATAATAATAATAATAATAATAATAATAATAATAATAATAATAAATATACTCGAATAAGGAGAACTATTGTTTGAGACAAAGGGGCCCTCGTGGATCTGCCCCAGGACACTTATTTTCTCTGGATGCCCCTGCGTATATCTACAAGTGACAATCGAAATATGATACGTACATGTGTAAAAGTGTATGATGTTGTGCTCCTTGAGCATTGTAAAAGAACATCAAATGAGGGGAAATGTAATAACGTAAAATTGGTTATTTTGAGAATGACAGGCCTTCCTACATGAAAGCCGTCGACATATCGCGAATGGTGAACTCGGCGGTTCCGAGGCTGAAGCCCTTCGTGATGACCATGTCACGGCCACCGCGACGAAAGCAGGAGACAGTGGGCGGCATAGTTTAGCGTCGCTAGGGGGGGGCGGGAGGAAAAGTGGAAGCCAAAGAAAGAGGGGGCGAAGAAGAGAAAGGCGAAAGCTCCCCACCGTCGCAGGCGACGGAAATTGAACGTGTAACCGCCCTCCTTCCTGGCTTCTGATGCAAGAGGAGGTCACCTCTTGGTGCTGGTTTTGTGCGGAAGACCTACTGTGATTCGTTGACCTCCGTGGAAAGCAGGCAGGCAGTGAAGGTTAGGGAAGATCGTTATCTTTTTCCGCTAATGGCTGAAGGCGATTCACACGGAAGAAATAGGGTGAAGAACATTATAAGACATTATCTGGAAATGTGAACGACACAGTTTAGATGTTCTTAAGTAAGTGTCATTCATTCCTCCATAGAGAACAATACACAATAAATATGTATTACTGCAGTGTCAAGCTTTCAGAATGATATATTTACACGAAAGGCTAATACGTAATTCAATTTCCCCTCAAATATTTTAGATTATGAAAAATCATCTGTATATATATCTAGGTTTGCCAAAACATTAACTATTTTTATTCATTTAATTCCAATTATTTGATACACAATTGTTAAATGTTGTAAAATAATTTTCCTTCCCAAGAAAAAAGTATACTTTTTTGTCCCGTTCTTGAAGATTTTATGAAACCATTATTGACGATTTACTATCATAGCTATAAAACTAAATTAATACTTTTCAATTAGAAAATATGTCGTATTAGTCAAGAGAAATACTAAAATATAATTAAATCATCCTTTATCAAACCCTTACGTTCATAAATATATGTAAATATTCTTTGGTTTTATTTGACGATTTACACTAATGCTGCTACAGAATGTTACAGACTTTCCCGTATTCTTTTTTACTTCCTTAGGTCTCAGCTAGCTATTCGGACTTGCCACATACTCCATTCCAACTGCCATCTATCGCCGCCCAAAGTACATTTTCTTGAAATTTTCTTAATATTTAGGTTTTTCAAATAGTAGAATGAAAATATTATTTTAATAATATTAAATAACAGTAAAACCTAGTCCTAAATGGCAATTTTTATTGAAAATCTTTTAGCCGTTTTTATGGAATTTGGGTTGAAGCACTACTGTAAATTCGAAATTTGAAGCTCTTTCTCACAGAAAATGTTTGAGTTTTCGAAAAACGTTATATGGAGTCATTTGAAGTACATTAATTCACAAATACAATAATGTTTACAAATTGTTAGAAATGTGAATATTAACTGTGAGAGATTTTACAAAAAATACATTTCTGTAATTTTTGATAAAACAAAAATACCCCAAAATGACCTTTATGTCATATGAAAGAGTGCAATTACCACTAACCGTTCGAAAAGATTGAAGACAAAATTTGGAGCCAATTATGAGAAAATGTCGTTTGAGCGTTTCCGAAAATGCGAATTTGAAGCCAGTTTCCGCAGAAAACGGTTGAGTTTTTAAGAAACTGTATTTGACATAATTGAAAACACATGTACTCATCAATATAATAATGTGAAGAAATCGGCGGTAGTGTAAATATAAACGACGTGAAAGACAAAAATTACAATTTGTAGTTTTTGAAAAAACAAAAGAATAGAGCAACATGACGTTTATGCCATCTCACATAAGTACATGTATCACTAGCCCAACCAAAATTTAAAGAAAAATTTGAAGCCGCTTCTGAGAAAATTTTGAAAATGTCCGGGGGCCTTCATGTAAAGTACCCCCCAATTTTGAAGCAAGTTTTTCAAAATAGCAGTGCCTTGAGTAAAAACAGATGGACCGGAGATTTTTTTTGAAAAAAAATTGTATGTTTTACGCGCTAGTGGTGTTCACAGATTGACAGACGGACGGATGATTAGCCGTCAAATGGTTTTTCGGTATCAAGATCCACAAAACAGGTATAATGGCTGCCTCACGTGTTAGAGGATATTTTTCTTAATTTAGCCACTGGATTCATCCACTTTTTCGTTATCAGGGCCCAGCAATGAATTGTTTGCCGAAAATCCCCACTACGTACATTACTCCGTATATTACACAGGAAAGTGAAAAATCGGTTACGTGTTCGTCACCCATAAGTTATCATCCAATAACTTCAGAAATGTGAAAATGGGCTGAAGCAGTCAGTGAAAGAGAAAGGCTGATGAAATGTAAGAGGAAGTTACTCGTAGGGTCACGTCCCGGAAGCTTCTCCGTGCATCTCCTGCAGGAGACATCGATGCGCGATGAGAAGACGAACTCACTTGAGAATGCTATCTGTTCCCGTTTGAGAAATGTTCGATGTAACTAGCATTGCTCATTGGATATGGTTAATTCACATTATTCGTGACAAAACATCACAGATCTACTTTGTTGAATTTTATGAAGATTGGTAGATTTGGTTTTGCTGCGAAAACTCATTTTCGAGAAAAATGGTCTTGCAGGTAAAGTCCGGTTTACACGGTCATTTTTCATCATTATTCTGTACAGAAAGTGGATGTGAAAGGGACGTTCGATTCTACGCTACTGTTTCTATGAGGAAACGGGATGGACGACAACGAGCATATTACATGGTCATTTCGCTTCCTGCACACAATCGTGATAAAAAAATTCCTTTGGTCACTGCAAAAAGTGCTGCAGATTAAACAGTTGATTGTAGCAACAGTGTAACAAATTAAGTTAGGTTACATTATTAATGAGCACGGAACGAGACATTATGACATCATAGTACACAGTACATGTTTTATTTCTGACTACATAATTACTTCACATTACAATTCAACGCATTACAACGCACTCGAAATTGTTCAAAAGGAACAAATCGCACCACTCATATAGCAAAGCAGAGAAAGTTTCTATAAGTCACACCAGGAGCGCGGTAGTCAAACTGGATTAATTCTGTAACGAAAAATGAAGCATGAGTAATTTTTTTCGTACAAATTTCATCCAGTTAAATCCGTCACTTTTCTGTACCAACAAAAAAATTATGAAAAAATGACCGTGCAAAACGGACTTCAAAAGACTTTTTGCCGACAATGGATTTGTCGGTATCAAGGATCCACAAAACATGGATTGTGGTTACATCCCGTGTTAGAGAAAGTAATTCACTATATGAATGGGTGAAAAACAGATCGGTGTAAGTGGCATTTTATATATTCTGAGAAATCTGTTTATTTAAGTCAATATCACTGTAAAGTCGTGGTTCTTTGTTTCGTCATTATAACCACATAATTTCAATTGTTCATTAAATCAACTAAAATACATTGCCACTGACATATAGTCTAAAATAAATCTGTTTTTCTCAAAACGTATTAAATGTCTCTTATACCGTTCTGGTTTTCCCCCATTCATATAAAATAGCAACAGGATTTATTCCCTATCCCGGTACTAGGGCCCGGCAATAAGAGGTTTTTCAGCCGACCATTCGCCATTTTCCGGCCCACGATTACACGCTGTGGCGTCATACAGGGGTAATCGAACACAGAGAAGAGTGATTTGTAAAACAGTAGATTTATTAACAATCTAGACTGTAGTCTCTATTTAACAACTACTCTGCTCCCAATAAACTAAATAAATAGACCCACTACAAGGAGAGATAATTTAAGAACGGCTACCACACCGCAACATACCACCGATGTTCCCTGTATTAAGCCGCTCTACTTTGAGACCATCTACGCGTCTCGCAAGTCACGACAACGAATTGCCGGCCCCTCGTCCTAGAGCACCTACACGCACAGACACGCGCTTTACCTGTCGCCGACGCTCTATCACAAGAAGATTGGGGCATTGTTCTCCTGGCATTATATAGGCCCTTTTGGCCGCCCCCATTGTCTCCTCCCCAAAGCCGCTCTGGGCCCGCTACGTCCACTGAAAGTCCCTGTGCGTCATCACTCCGCCTTTTTTTTTAATATCCGGCGGTTGGAGCGTGGCACAACTCTATAATACCTTTCTCTTGATACGTTAGTAAGTACGAGAAAGTCAACGCATAAAAGTGACTGTTGCGTTGTGTGTGTTGCAGCGCTGCCGCCGGGCATGGGCGCGCACGCGGGGGCGCCGGGGCCCGTGCTGGGGGTGGGCGCGCGGTGCCGGCGTCGCGACGCGCACCTCGGCGCCTGCCTCACGCGATCCGCCAACGCCTTCGCGCGCCGCCTGCGCCGCGGCGCCCCCGAGCTGGGCTACCCGCAGGCGGAGCCCATCATCATCGACGAGGTGGCCATCCGCCTGGGCGGCGGCGACGACGGCTACCGCGCCGACTTCAGAGACATCCACGCCTACGGGGTCTCCAACCTCACCGTCACCAACGTCCGGTGAGGCACGCCTTCCCTTACCGGGGAAAGGGGTTTCATTCTCGTTCGAGTCGTGGGGGGTTTGGGGTGGGCAAAGCAAGTTCGCAGAAAATTCCAACTCATTTCCCTTATATCTTATTCAACCATTGATCCATTATTAATCACAATGGCGTGAACAGCCTAAAAGGAGAGGAGGGACAAAAAAAATCTGGTCCCCTTTGTCCATTTGATTAACATATGGAATATTTTACTAGAAAATAAATAAAACACAAATAGAATATAATTATAACTTTAATGGTACAATAAATAAATATAAATGCGTTAATGTGGAACATGTGTTGCCAGATAGTTTGGTGAGCATTTTCCCCAAATTCCGTGTATGAAATTACCAAATTGACAGCTAGAAAGATTTATTGTATAAAATTTCGTTGATAAAATATACCTTCAAACGTCTAAGTTTTATCATACGAGTACATTTGGTAACATGGCATCTGATCATTTGCAAAGTTTTCATTGCAGAGTAAGAGCAATTAGTATGTTTATATAATACTATTCATCCAGACTTCAAAAACAGAAACAAACGACTTGACGTAGTATAACATATTTTCCAGAAAAGTGGAAAATGTGGGGTTAGGAAATGCTCAATTCGTAAAGTTAATATTTTATACTTCAAATTCAGAGGTCCCAATTCCGAAAGAAGGAAGAAGAAAGACAAAGAAAGTTGAATGTTTCCTCGTCCATCCTCAAATAATTCTTCATTTTTAAGTTCCTTAATTACTGTTTCACAATGTGCGACCAATGGCGTCACCCTCAAACGTCTCCTCTTTACCATTTACTTCTTCAGCATTAAACATAAATTAGTTACAATTAATCATAAAGTAGCACAAACACACCTATTTGTGCGTCATCCATCTTGAATCACGAGTAAAACTACATAAAATATTGGACGCAATGTAATACGTTCGTCAAATTTTTTGGTCTAAGTTTCCTTCGTCACAGTTCAAAGAACTTCCACAAAGTTCTTTATCAAAGATATTTATCAATTATATTTTACAGTGTAATACCGGCCTAACTTGGAAGGGGTGACACGTGATGTAGGGATACGAAGACTTCACTACCGCCGAGATCATTCAACACAATCACTTTCTTGCTACAAACGTTCAAGGCAGACACTCTCCAACAAATTGGTTGATACTGAGATGTGCCCTTGTACTTCGGCAACACTACGCACCAGAACATTAATCGAGAGGGACTTACAAGCCACCTCCCTCAGGTGAAGGAGGGCGGACGGTCTTACAGACAGGCGGACGGAAATACAGAGACGGAGAGGGAATAGAATAACAAGATCAATGTGATGTGGCGGGATGGGCGGGTTGCTGAGAAGGCCTTAATGGATAGAACGTGCCCAAAAAAGGACCCAAAAAAGTATACAATACAATACAATATAAAACAACTTTAAAAGCAGTTATCCATTATCTTAGTAGAACGCGCTCAAATGACTCAATTCCTTCTTATCTTAAAAACTACATATTATAGTCTAAATTTGAGTCATCGTTTCAGCAAGTCAGCGGCATATTCTCATAGAAAGTTTTCCCCCACATATCGTGAAAGCAACTTGGCACTACTTCAAAAAAAAAAAAAAAGAAAAGTTGAGGTGTGTGAAGACCTGATATTCGCTTATTAAAAACAAAAAGGTTGATGCAAATTGAAGTGAAATATATTAATTTTGAGATCTTGAGCACTATTTAAATTAGATTTATAATTACAACTATTTGGATATGTTAAATGTTTTATGTCATAGGTAAACATTTTTTTCCACGCAATTCAATATTTGAAGATTTAAATTATTTCAAAATTCTTTGAAGCAAGTTTGTTTATATGAAAACACTGAACTTCTTAGGTCCTTTTTATTTAATTAAATATGTTTTTTGTGTGTTGCAAGACAAACGTTATATCGTTTTATACTTTTGTAATATTTTCTCTCAATGATAAAAATTGATATTAGTGATATTGGTGATCCATTTAAATTAAATGCTGATGAGGCAGTTCATATAGTGCCATAATACTAAAAAATGAAGTAGAGAACTCAGAGAAGGCCTGTGGCAAGAAAAGAGTATTTACCAATTCAAAATGTAAAGAAATAGTAATTGAAATTTCTTATCGATTTGATTTTTACAAAATTTGTCAACCCCTTCTCGCAGATGAACGAGAACACAGGAAAAAAATCGTGTGAAGGAACGAGGGCGTGATGTCACTTTCCCCTTCGTTTTATCATGGCCCGAGGCAGGAGTGACGAGCTGTGTTTATATGGCTGGAGATTTCATCCACGAGACATTTCCATGCACACAACGTCCGTGATTGCAAGTCAGAGTCACACTAATATCGGACCAGCATTAGAGTTAAATCAATGTTAAAGGAAGATCGAACAAGTTAAGTCCATAAATAAAGAATAGGTTTGAGGTTGAGGTTTAAAGCACACAGGCACATTCACAAAATATAACAAAGCAATGTTTATTTTGATTTATTTGTATATTACGTCTGCATTCCTACTTTTGCCGGAGCAAATTTCCCAGTAACGAATGACGGTGCTAATTGTTATCATACTTTCACGCCTTTTTATGCTGCTCTTTCCCAGCTTCAATTATTAAGTGTCACCATCTAGCTGGCAAACTTCTAACTACGAATGCGGCAAAAGCGTGTAGGATTCTTCCCAAATTGTCAAACAACGACGTAATATATTTTACAGTTTGTTTGCCCCTTCTCGTAGCTCAAAAAAAACAACTTAATTTAATTGGAAGGACAATCAGGCATTACCCCTCACTATGTTATCAAAATGCTCCCGTTTATTGAACTTTGCATTCACTCAATTGCAGACGCTAGGGAGAGCAAATATGTTACTTAAAATTTGATATTATTTATGAAATATATGTAATTATTTTTAGATGCACATGTTCGAGTGATCTGGAGGAAAAATTAATATTTTTTTTGAAACATTTAAGAATTAATAAAAATAAATAAATAATGTTGGAAGCCACAAGTAGGGTTTTGACCTACATAAACATTTATCCACTACTGAATTTTAGAACCACGCCTGAAAGTAAAATAAACCAAGCTAATATTAATATAAACCTAAAAGGCTGTTCATGATGGACTGTAACGTAGCCGTGTCTTTTATAACACACCATTAATTTTAACAACTCATTAGGAGAATGACGTCCTCACTACTTCAACAAATATAGATTGTATTCGTACAAACAAATAATTAGTTGAAACGTAACACCGAGGAAGCTCAGGGCATCAACTGATGTCACTCCAATGCCGCCTGATCTCACTCCAATGGATTTTCAATTCTAGCCAAATAGCTAGGTCGACTTCTGACGCTTTCTGAAGGAGACTTCTTGAGCTGCTCTGATCGGTAGTTTTCCGTCGTTTCACCGATCAACACCAGGCGAACAGTACCCTAACAAATGGGCCGCGGACCGCTCGCGGTCTTTCCCTCCCATTCCTGGTTCTATCCTACTCCTTACACACACACACACACACACACACACATACACTCACACACACTTGCATGCACTTCACTACCACACTTCCCCGGAGATTGGTCGGGAGCTTATGCTGCTCCCCCCGCTAGTGGGAAATACCTGGTTAGGAAAAACCCCGCTAGCCGACGTGAGTGATCTCGCTATCCAACAGGTGCAGATCACCGCCACCTCCCGAGGAAAACATGCGTCACACTAACGCGACTAATGACATTAGCAATGCACCCTGAATCACCAGTAAATCAATAAATAATTTGACGCGTAACAATGCATGTGTATGTGTATGTGTATGTGTATGTGTATGTGTGTGTGTATGTGTGTGTGTGTGTGCTGATCGAGGTGTGCGCATGCGCAGGTCGGACCTGGACACGCTGCAGTTCCAGCTGAGCTTCTACGTGCCGCGCATCTCCGCCAGAGCGCGCTACCGCAGCAGCGGCAAGCTGCTCATGATGCAGGCGTCGGGTGGCGGCGACTACTGGGGCGTCTATGGTGAGCACCCTCATCCCTTGGATCAAAGTCAACTTATTTTAATAATAAAGTAATCGATCAGATGGACGAGATCGCTAAGGCAGTAGTGCCGTAGCGGTATCGGACCAGAAGATCGCGGGTTCGAGTCCCGTCTCAGGCATGGGTGAATTTGTTTGTATCTGAGTGCGTTCCTTTCACCCCTCACTGTCATAGTTTCATCTTCCATACCCACAGGGGTAACAGCTCTGGGGGATAAAAAAGCTCCAGCTGAAATGCCGATCTCCTGATAAAGTTACATGCACCTGCTACCGAGATATTAGTGCTGAACCCCGGTAAATGCATGGTGCATGCACGCGTGGTCCAAGTCGGCCTATCAACAATCAATCTTAATCAACCACTGTCACCCTCCTCGCACTTCGTCACAAATCCTCCATCACGTCTACTCCCTCTATCACTCCTCATAGCTTCATCGCTTTCCAAAACAGTCTCCTTCCATCACAATCCATCAACCTGAATATCCCAACTCTTCATTACCCTCTATCACCTTTCAACAAATACCGTCAGCCTCCATCACACTCCACCACTTCCAAGAAAGAGGTCGACACTGTCATCCAATTTGGAGCTTCAATGCCAAAAAATTAAGTCGGAACGAAGCTCGCGAGTCGATGAGTCTGCCCCACTCTCCTGCCAGCTGTGATCTTCAAAAGACTTCCAGTTTTAATTCGAGTATAATCAATGAAAAGTGGTAGCAGTTTTCATGCATGAATAGTAGTTTTCCCTTGATATGATGTTTGTTTTATCTAATCTGGCGCTTTTGTCGGCCTAAGCTAATAGAAGATGTATCGTGCAATAACAGTAATGTATGTGTAAAGGCCGAAATGTGTGTGTTTGTAAGAGGTGTTTACCAACAGAGGTAAATAGCGGAGTAGAGGTTGGCGAATGGTGGAAGTGCACACGCTCTTTGTACTCTTAGTGCCTCTTAAAGCAGCCATTACTGTACTTTGATAATGCGAATACAAAATCTTCCTGCTGACGTACTGCTACCTACTGTTTCAATATTAGGCGTGAAAAAACATTGACAGTCCAATAATCGTTGTTGTCATGTCGATAAGTTACCAGGGATCGTCAGTTGTCTTAAAGAATCAAACCGGGTTTTGCGTTTTACTGCGCTTCATTGCACATTTTTATAGAGCTTTTTCGTAACAAAAGTGATTTTCAGACTAATTCTAGATACCTCAACTGAACGAATGATTAACAGTACAGAAAGTACTGCTCAAGGTGAGAGTGAGGCTGAAAACGTTGCATTTTTATGGTCGAATCACATCCATAAAAAAGTAACTTTAGTGTACAAACATTTGAAGTCGTAGGCTTCCGCGGCCAGAGTCATGTGCGTGATCTGGGCTGTCCGGGTGACGCCGCGTCGAAGGCTGCGTTGCTGGCGACGTTTCGACGGCGACGCCTACGTTTCGACCATCTTGACGTGGTCTTCCTCAAGCATGCCAGCCCTGAGGAAGACCACGACAAGATGGTCGAAACGTCGGCAACACAGCCTTCGACGCGGCGACACCGGGACAGCCCAGATCATGTACAAACATTTATTTTCCAACGCTTGGCGACAGCCTCTTCTCTTGGGGGGGGGAGGAAGCCGATGAATGAAGGGGTAGGGGACTGAGAGTATTTATAAGGAGGGGCGGGGAGAGAAAAGGGGTGGTGAGAGCTTGCCTGTGCGTTCGCAGAGGGCGTGCGCGCCAAGGTGTACTTCCGAGCGCATCCTGTGGAGGGCCGCGACCTGCGCCCGCACCTCGTGGTAGACGACCTCAAGATGGACTTCAGCGTCAAGGACATCCGCATGGGCATCGAGAACCTGCACAACGGAAACACCATCCTCCGTAAGTTTCACTTGACCTAACTACGACCAAGTACACTTCACCAAGCAGCTTCACCTATCATGGGAAACAAGGAATAATTGGGCTACATAACATGGTTTTTAGACCACTGCAAGTACCGTAATAGCGGTTACTTTTAGAACATACACAACATGCCTAAATCTGTTTTTAACACTAATGCTAAGAGTGAAACGATGCTCAATGTTCAGATAAATCTGTGAATGCAACAAAGAAAAAAAATCGTCTGAATGCATCGGCTGCATCCACACTAGAGATCCAGCTACTGTCCTTAATGAACCACAGTACCCAATTGAGTGATCTGGTACTCGAGTTAAAATGAAATAAAAGTGAATAAGGCTGTCTAAAATGTAGTGAACGATACAGTGGGTAAAAGTTATTTTATTTTGCTCTTACGATTGTATTATTCGGCATTTCCTACTATCCAAACAAAATGCCACATATACCGTTCGTATCATCAATAATAATTATATCATAATTATTGTCGAATGGATTTCAAAACAACTCACCCTATTTCTACAAAATCAGTTCCAGGCAAATAGATTTTAAAAGAAAGAATGCTGTAGAAACACATTGGCAATTAAAATGAACAAAAATAAAATGTATAATAAATCCAGATTATTATTTAATAATTTATTGCTGAAGAAAAGAAAACAACACAGGTACATTTTAAAATATTGACATAAAGAAAAAAGATTAGACATAGTTCTCTTTGTACTAAAACTCATTAACTTTTTTTGTGGGTTTTTATCTTCAAAAGAACTTTTTTCTCGGTTTTAGACCAATTTTTCCAAAAGCATTATATCAACATTGGGGTAAATGGATTCTTTGTTAAAAGATTCTAATATTGGGATGGCTTTTAATGTAAAAAAAACAGGATATACATTGGTGAACCTGTAATTTAATACATAATAATCATATTTATTCATATGTTTTGAGTATTTCGGTTTGGTAACACATGATTGTAATGAAAAAAAAATTTTGTAATCATGGGATTATTGCCACAAATGATTTTAAGAATGCAAACCAGAGCAGCACTAGCAATGTAATTTCTTGCACACCCTGATAAGGATTCATTCCATAACAGTAAGTTTTACTGTAACAACTTTGTTGTGTAAACAAGAAATTGTTAAATTGTCACAATAAAGTTTTGGTTTTTAAACAAAATGACAACATTAAATTTTGGGAGCCAATACATTTTGTGAGTCATAGCCCACACAAGATGGGACTTCATTTCCTGCCTGAAATTCTTTATTTGTACTTGATTGCCTTTCTTTTTTCTATGAGGGATCACTCTATCATGTCACAGCATTCAAAAATATAATTGATTCTCAGCTGCAGATAGAATAGACATGAACATAAACAGTAGCCAGTTTTGAAATTAGGGCTGAAAGTAACTGAATATAATAGCAGATAAATTTTTGTAGTATAAATATTTTGATAAACTAACAATCTTTTAGGATTAAAAGCTTCTGAGTACACATTAACTCATTTTTTTACTAAATGTGGAGTCAGAGCCCTTAAAAATTGCAGCAGCAAATTCCTCTGTTCAGTTTCAATACGTTGTGTGAAGGTGTGAAGAAAGAAACCTGTTACTTCACTACATTCTAACAATATCTCATTCAATTCCTTTTTCGGTAATCCCATGTACAATTATCAAAACATTAAGTGATAACATTTAATTTAACTTTCTTTGATGATCTCATCTGCAGATGAGTGTAAAATGAGAAAGAAAGAAAGAAAGAAAGAAAGATCTATAGGGAGTTATATTTCTTGTAAATTCTATTTTCAATTTTCAAACCTTTCTAGTACTAAGGTACTCAAATAACCATAAAACTGTAATCATTTCAGTGATGTGTCTTTATCTTTTCCAATGTCCATAAGTGCTTCAATTCTAAATAAGGTGTAAGTAGTGGACATTTTCATAGTTTTCTTAAAGTTTTGAGACTACAGTAAAAAATTATAAAGAGAAGTGATTATTAGCATACTTCTTCCTCAATAGATCCCTTCCCTAAAAATTATCAATTTTCAATTTTTTCTACTTGATATTAATTTATTTCCAAGCCCTGACTTTGATCCAGTAGAATCTACTTAAAAATTGCAAGTTGATAAATGGTAAAATACTTGACTCACAATTGCAATGTCAATATTATTATTAGGTTTTCAAGTAAGCTGCAGAAATATGCAGATATGCTGTTTTCAAATATGTTGCAAAAACTCTGCTGAAGATAAAGTTTTTTTCAAAAAAGTAGCATACACAGTGCTCAAGAACAACAAATCAAAAACAGTCGTAAAACACCATAAAATTAAATATTTTAACAAAAATTGTCTTCACAAATACTGCAATAACATAGTCTAGTGTATATAGAGTATGCCCTACAATAGTTCTTTACACGACAAGAATATCAAAAATATTGCTGTTCTATGATGCAGCATGTAATGTAGAAAATATTAGTGTTAAGTGGCCTCTTCCTTGGAGGTTTTCCGTTGCATGTCAGATGCATTATAAAAGTGAACTGATGAGAATTTAGACAAAATATTCAGAATGAGAATAGGTAGAAAAAATCTAATATTTGCATTTTTTAGTAAAAATGAAGACTCATTATGTTTGGACTTTTCCTTCTGGGAATGTAGAAAACCTTAGACCAGTCTCTAATGTCCAGAGGTTGTAGACTCTTCTTTCAATTTCTGCTTCCATTAGAAGTTGGTAAAATAGATATAAAAGTGGGGGAAATTAAATAATCTTCATACTGAGGTGTGGATTCAATCTGATTGCTGCCCTAGGTGAGACCCAACTTGTTGACTCTGCCACTTCCCCCCCCCCTGCCAACTCCTGCCCAAAGTTTGAATGGTTTGGAATTTTATTAATAATTTACACTACTTGTCAAAATGTTACAAATTATCTAATCCCTTTTATAACAGATTTATTTTATTTGATTTTCTAAAATGTTTGGACTGTTTATAGAACACCAATCAAACAACAGGAGTACATCAGTTTCTGATACAGTAAGATTATGAAAATATAATAAAATGTGATCAACATTGGATACAGTATTGGAAAGTTTTCATCTTGCTTTTTTGTTGTACAAAATTGTTGATAAAATCATCCTAACTTAACAATAGTAACACATCAGATGTTATTGTCATAATAGACAGTGCAATATGTTCATCCTGTTCCAAGCTCAATCTTATATAATTTTTAATTATTTTCAAAATTGAAAAAGAGTGCTCTGCACTACAATTTGTAATAGATATCCAATGAAGTAATGTTTAAGCAATGTTGACATTTGGAAAGATTAAATTCTGATTAAAGTAGTATATTTTAACATTGAATTTAAAGAAACTAAGTTCATCCAAATGTTGCCACCCTAGGCAGCTGCTTATGTTGCTTGTGCATAAATCTCCTCTGTTAATACTACATACTTCACACCATTAAAAGACTTAAGCTGTCCAGTTTGAAGTAAATGCTTAAGTTCTGCAAATTTGAAGCAAATGGAAAATCTTCAATTGCCATTTTTGAAATTGTCATTGAAGTGGCCACTACTGTGGTAATTTACTAGTGCCCTTGGCCTAGATTTTCTCTCTGAAACATTGTTTTTCAAAATATTTGTTAGTATTTTCATAATAATTTTCAGAGCTACTTTTCATTAAGATTGAATTTGCCCTCAATGAAAGACACCTCATCATTTGCAAAACTGAGGAAAAGCTAAAAAGGGTAGTTTGCTTCCATTCCCAAATCTTCATTTATTTTTAGACCCCAAGTGCTTCATTAAAATTAATTTTAAATAGTACAAGCACTTATTACAGTGCCTTTTGGCAATGATAAATTGCCCTCATTAATTTAATTTCTGTGATATAAAATTTAATTTCCACCTATATTAAATGTGAGCCATAACTCGTGAAAAATGTTAATATTATGAATGAAAAATCATTCTCACTGTCAAAAATTCCTCTGATGTTACACTTATCATTGAATTCAAAATGAACCCAATGCTATAATTTTATTTTCTCATTAATGATGATAAAAAGAAAATTTTACAATTAAATTTTAATGTATGGATCTTCTGAAATGCTGATGGCTATTTGCACATAAAAAATTCTTCAGCTACAGAGGCTAAATGGTAGTTTTTGGGGGAAAATATTGATATACATTTTACTTTCTGTTAGATGAGAAGTCTGTAGCCACCCAACTTTGAATGTGAATAGCCACATGTCATTATGAGAATTAGTGCATTATTATTCAATCCTACATTTAATGAGCAATATTTGGGAAGTTAAATATTAAGGCCAAATTTTAAAATTATTAATGTATCATCAATTAAATATAACTTCATTTTCAAATTTTTATTATATTTGATTAATTTTAGTAGTATTCTCAAAGGCTTAAGGCAATCAAAATGAGGTTTCTATATTATTCTTTGAAATCGTCATTTCAAAATTTATTGCAGTGTTTCGCATGCTGCATGTGCTTGCATCTTCAGGCAGACTTGAAATTTACAACATCTACGATTTACTCTCAATTTGAAACAGAACTAAAACATGAAAATAAAATATTAAAACAAATGCAAATATAATTTCCCTTGAGTCGTATGAAAAAAGTACAAGCAGAACAATACAATTTCAATAAAAAGAAAACAAAGAAATAAAAAGCAAAAATTAACAACAAAAAAAATGTTTATCACAAACAAACCTGAGTCCAAAGCACAAGATGGAAGAAGTACTTCCCATAATATGAAATAGGACATAATAAAAGAAAAGAAAAGAAAAGAAAAGAAAAGAAAAGAGAAGAGAGAGAGAAAAAAAACAAACAAAAGAGACATTAAAAAACTTGAAAGTGTGAGGAGTCCAAACATGACCTCTTTTCACCAAAGATAGGTTGTCAAATGAGATGAGGAAATGGGGGAGGGTTAGGCCATTTCCTAATACAACAGTCTCATGGTAAAATAACTTCTGAAAGATTCGACTCACTTGAATGAGAGAGGAGAAGGGAGGAAGGGGGTAATTTTAATATCATTCAAATTTATATTTTGGTTCTATACTTACCTACTTAATATTTGTTTGGCCATGTTTTGCTCCCACGGACATGATACGCTTGTAAATGACTGTAGTCAAGCTTAAGAAAGACTTCAAATTATTTAGGTTCTTTAAATGGTTTAAGCTTTCTTCTTGACTTCTTGTCATACATTCTCATGTCTTGAAAGTGTAATCTTTTACATTTCCTCAATTGTTATGTGCTCTGAGGTCTGATTCAGACTCAAAGCATGAATGATTTAATTTAATAAACTGTATTCATGTCTCTTAAAATAACTTAATTTTTTAATTGCACTGAACATTTAGATAGGAATTTGTAGTTTTTTCTACCTCTCCACTTTGTAAATTACGCACGAAGGGTATTTCTCTCAACTGCTTCTGCAATATGTAATTGAAAATTTTGTTCTAAAGTATTTTGTTGAAGAATCATAGAAAAAATAAAAATCCTCATGCATAAAATAATTAGTTTATAACTTGTGGAATCACAAAGGTGAAGTGAAAATGTGCATGGATATTCTGAGCCACAAGTATTTACACCAAAAAATAGATTTAGTCTGACATTTTTTTAATTGACAAAGAATTTGTTGTTATCATTATGTAAATTTGATGTTTACCTACTGAAGTAGTTCCTAACATTTTCTGTACTACACAATTCAGTTTCACCTATGTGAGTGCTTGGAGCAATACTTGTTCATCTATCTTTGGTATATTGGAATTGGATAATTTCTTTAAACATTTCATCAAAAATATTTTCTTTTATCTTGAAAGAATGCTTGTTTTTTAATATCTGCAACCAGAAATCGTATGAAGAAATGAAAGATGTCATCTCTGCCAACTTAATGTTTATTTAGACAGCCGAGCTTTCAATGGCTTTGGTGTCATCATCAGTCTCACTATTGCAGCAAAACTTGAGATTCAGTTCCTGTATAAGTATAAATTGACAGACGTAGCATCTTTTATTTCTTCATGTAATTACGTCAACAATACCACATTAGAATTCCCACAATTCAAAGAATTTCAAAATTTGGCCAGAAAAAACCGAAGTACCAAAATAGCCATTTCCCTTCTTCCTATGAATTTTTATGTATATGTCAAAATATGATGCATTTCACTTATGAATTCTTGAAAGTAAGCATCCCAAACTTTAAAAATCTTTTTAAAACCGTGTTTGATAATGTTCTCCAGTAATTAATTAATATAGCATTTCTCATAAAACTTAAATGCTCAATCCTTTGAATATTCCCTAGAACAACTGTTATTCAAAACGCAATGTATTTTTTTTTCTTCTTTTATTTAAAAAGAGTTGATTTCCTAGTTCAGTTCTCATCAGGAATTTTATTATTATAAAACAAAATTGTGAGATATATCTAAGATCTACCTAAGAATATATTACATTTTTAAAGCCAGTTGACACAGTTGTCCAATTTCTTCTCCAAATCATTGTTTTGAGATACTATTATATCTTGAAGATATTTTTTCTTTGGAATTCCCATTTTTTCCCTTTACATTTTTTCTTCGTTGTTTATGAGCAAAACACTTGATTTTCATCTTTTCGCCTCTTTGAATTACTCTTATACCACATTTTAATTTTTCAAGATTTCTTCAAAGGTTTCTTACCAATGAGTGGTGATTTTCCCCCCTTTTTATGTTTCCTTTGATTGATTATTATTTATTGTTGGTTTTTGTCTTTCAAAAGTTAAAGTTAAAGTCAGTAATTTCAAAATTAATCTTTTTTTCTTTATTTATTCAATTTCATTCTTAATTTTTAAAACAATCAGAATTAAGAGGAATTCCTTTTTTAATACTAGTTGCAGAAATATCAAATACTTCCTTTTTCAGAAGCTGCTCTAAACCTGTTTATCAACACCCATGCCCAAGATCTTCTGAAGGAAATGAAGCCTGACTTGAAGCGGAAACTGATGGTTCTCATGCGATCGTTCATGGAGAACTTGTTTAATCGTATCCCATATGATGCATGGATTGCAGAATGAATATAACTTCTCATGCACTGTGGAAATGCATTGTACATGCAGCAGACATTTACTTGCAGCACAATACACTTGTGAAGTGGAACAGAAGACGTGTCTTATTGTGAGTGTGGTATGAGGACATGTAAGGCAAATGAAGTTGTGTTCACAGGGTATGTAATTTATATTTTGACGCATATTGTGTCAATGTGTTTCAGAAATAATTTTATTGTTGATAATGCTGCGAATATGTTGTTAAATTTATGTGGGATTTGAATCCAAAGCAATATATTTAAAATCTCTTATTTGATCTGTTTAGTGATGGTTGACAGACCTGGAAAGTAAGATATGAATTTAAACAAATGTTTTTAGTTTTCAGTAGTCTTTCACAAGATTTGTAGAACAAAAAAATGTGAAGAACAAGTATTGTTGTAATTTATTAGTTGATATTTTCAGGATGTCAATTTTCTACATTTACATTAATTTCAGTCTGAGTAATCAAACTATTATTTGGCAATATATGTTGTTTATGTTGTTGTTAAATTACTTTGGTCAACTTCTCAGCGTATGTATAATCCATTCATATCAAGCCAAAAATGTCAGGCAATTACTATAGTTTTATTCTCAAAATAAAAATATAATTAAATAAGCTTAGTGTATTGTCATGATTATCCTATAATAATCCTAAATGGATTCACAGAATAATACAGTGCACCAGGAACGTATCTTTGCAGTACCACCATGGTGATGGAAATGCTAGCAACAGAGACAATGTTGGTAGCACAAGTTGGAGCTACAACTTCTAACAAAAGAAAACGAAAATTGCATACTCATCACAGTCATAGTAGATAGTGGAAGTGATGTTCTCTTCACTTGTTTTCAAGACTTTTCTCAGTGCGGAGAGACTTTCCTGGTGCAGTGTATCACTCTATACTTCTTGTATACATAATTTGTTTTACACATTACCATTGCAAGATCATTCAAACAATTCTGTATTTTATTTCACTATTTTTGCGGTTAAACAGACAAAGTTTCAAAGGGGAAAATTAAATTGAATAAACTACTATTAAATTACAAGTTAAAAACAGAAAAGTATGTTTATTATGAACATTTCACATTAATAAAAGTGGTTTCAAGTAATGCATACTTGAGATAAAATACATTTTTCTTTATTTAGCAACTTTCATTTGTGGATCATTCACAACTCCTTTTTAATTTTAAATAAAAGGAAAATGAGAGAATCAAAATTGGTAATTCATAGAATTTTCAAATAAATATTATGTTTCAATAATAAAATATCTACTCCATAGAAGTAAATTTTGAGAATATGAGTACATATTAAAATAAAATTGGGTATCTATAATTCATAGTTTTCATTTGTGTATTCTTCATTAAGTTTTTATCATTGATCATAAGAATTTTATAACGATGTTTGATACATCTTATATTACTTTATCACATTTGGGAAATATAACTGTGCTAAAACTCTTTTTTAAATAAAAGTCTCCTGTAATATAACGATACAAGAAGATGTGAAACACCTGTGCAATTTGAAGATGAAATGTTGATATGTGCATGCAAACAGAAAAGGGGCAGCAGCAAATATTTCACATATTAAGTTATTTATTCTTTTTCTTTCACATTTGATATTTCAGAGTTGAATTTTCTTTTTTTTTTTTAGGGAATTTCTTAGTAGAATTACATTCACTACTATTTAATCAACGTGCCTGAAAAGTTTTGTTTGGGAAACAAGCAAATTTTTCATGTAATGGAGTAATTTATTTACAATTCCTATTCAATATATAATAGATATTAGTTTTGTACTTTTTGTAACTTATTTGTGTCATTTAAATACAGATACAATGTCAATTATTTAATTGGATATCCGGGTGACGCCGCGTCCGTGGCAAACGTGTCGACGTTTCGGTCGCCATTCTGCGACCTTCCTCAGGGCGTAATGCCAAGAGGAAGGTCGCAGAATGGCGACCAAAACGTCGACGCCTTTGCCATGGACGCGGCGTCACCGCGACAGCCAATTAAATACTGACTCCGACCGCGGAAGCCTACGCTCTCAATGTCAATTATAGTGGGCAAAACATGACGATTTTGCTTAACTTGTTCATTGTACTTTGCACGAGAAACACTGGTTGTTCCATTCTAGTTGATATTTTTCTATTACAGAACTAACAATCAAGATTTTCAACAATCAAGACAATCAAGATGCCGGATTTTTCCTACCTGTGAATTCCGCGACTTAAATGTTTAATATACAATCGCACATTCCTCGCATTTGAAAAGAGAGCTCATAAAAAACCCAAGCGAATTTATCCCTATTAAACAGTTTTGATTGATTATTTCGGGCGCGTCAACTGCTAAGGTCATTAGTCCAGTAAATATAGTGCATGTTTTTCCTCGGGGGGGGGTGAATTCTCCTGTTGGATGGTGAGATCCGGCGCCGATCTACCGTCGGGGACGGGGTTTTCCTCAACTAGGAATCTCCCCCCAGCAGGACACTTCCCCAGACGGGAGAAGCTCTAAGCTGCAGATCAGCTTCCCGGTATGAGTGGTAGTGTATAATGCGTGTAAGTGTGTGTAGGGGGAGGGGGAAGATAGGAAAAGGAAGAGGAAGGAAATATCGCGCGCAGCCCGTGGTTTGTTTGTTAGGGTACTGCTCCGGCATTCGCCTGGTGTTGTTCGGAGAAACCACAGAATAATACCGATAAGGGAAGTGGCCGCTAGAATTCTCCTCCAGACAGCGACTGTATTCGTCCTAGCTGTCTAGCTAGTGTCGAAAATCCTACTACCGTCGGGATTCGAATCTATAGCCTCCCGGTCAGAGGCACTGCAGTGACATCAGTTGATGCCCTGAGCCGCCTTATATTAATCAGGTTGCTTTATCATTCCACGTCATGGATAACTTCAGTTTCCCTCCTTTGCTGACGCCGCATGAAAACTCCGGTAATGTCGGAGTTGGACGTCTTTTCTGTACAACAGCAATTTGCTCTTGTAAAGAGAATTGTAAATAGTTCAAAATTTTGACATTTTTACACGATTAGGGAGCGCAAGGGGAAACACTTTCTCTGTGCAAGCCATCTTCAAGCCTCGTGGCTAGTTCTTGTTCAGCGTGCTCGATTTCCACAACGCAGCACCGGGTTCGATTCCCGATCAGGTAAGATTATAGTGTGCATTTTCGTTGCAAGGTCACCGTAAACGTTGCTGTGCGACGATGCGAAAATTCACTTCTCAGGTTGAGAAGTCCGAAGTACGTCATGGGGATGTCTACGTGGTAACCACACGTACCCCCTTAACGCATTCCCGAGAGGCAGGGACGTTGCCTAAACCCGTTCAGGGTCTGTCGGACCAAGTACAGACATAGATAAATGAACTCTCACTGACTGAACATCAAAATGTTGTGTGTGGTAATCGTGCTGCTCAACGCCTTATCGAAAAAAGGAGCAGACGTATTGGTTCGATTTGCCCTTTTACTCGAGTTTCCACTGCCCATGGTGTGAGAGGTGTCTATGTCTCTCTCTGCCTACACCGTGGTCCTGGTCTAAGAGTTTTGTATGACTCATGCGCGTGTGGGTACCCGGCGCGTTAAATTAATAGTTCTAATTAAAGTATGCGACAAAAGATGGCAGTTTACAGGAGTAACTCCTCCCCGCAGGCCGCAAGGCTGCATTAAAAGCATATCATATTCTGCCAGTCGCAGCGTATCCATCAGGATCATGATTACTTCACGAAAGGAGCAAATGCTGAGAATTCATCCTCAAAGCGATTTCGTGTTTTCGCGTAGCTTAATAAACGCGCACTGTTTAAACTCGATCAAAGTAAATTACTGATAACTATGAACAAAAAATATAATTTTTCCCTCATATATCGAAGCAAATATGTTATTCGGTCGTAATATTGAAAAGAAGACGAAGTGTGAAGGGATTCCTCTATTTTCTTCCCGTAGAAACGGTCAATTGTCATTCCTGCATTCCAGAACGCACTGACATTTTTACGCCGTCGCGTCGCGACGCGTCGCGTCGTTTGCTTGAGTGTTTCTCAAATGGTAGCCTCACGTGACATGCCCGGGCCAAGTGATCATCTGCGGACCATCGGTGTGATTCCATTCTTTCTTGGTCCCAAAAGTATTAGCTTAGCCATTTCGATGCTATTTAGTTCCTCGATGGAGTGAGTCGATGCCTTTACGCTGAATTCGGTAAAGGATGAGTCAAGAACTCATTTGGCATCACTTCTCTTACGTTTCAATCGAATGAAGAGAAACATATATAAACACCCTTTTCGTAAATTCAGACGCTTTGAATGAATGGGAACATTTTCAAATGTGAACATACAAAAGACCACATGAACAACTGTAGTCATAAAAACTCATGTGGATGTATTTACACGTACATGGCTTACAAATATTATTTTTTCCTAATCTAAAAACTAACTCTAACTAACTATAGGGAGGGGTAGGAAGCAACAACCTGCACTTACTGTTCACAATTATTGGAGAATATGTTTAGGAAGGCATTTAAAGTGTAACGGTCTTTTATTCGTGTTGGAGTATAGTCTGTTGAGGCGAGGTTGTAGTGGCTGACGTCTGGTATAGAGTTGATATTTGAATAAAAGTTGGGGGAGATGGGCTATATGTTTAATGATGAATTTTATAATCAATTCTTTATGTAATTGTTTCATATTATTGGATTCAATTCTTTATGCATTTTTTAATTTAATTGGATATAAATCATGGTGCGTGGGTTGCTAAACGGGGAAATCTATGCGTATAAACATTGAGGGTCTGATAATTGTTTTATATAATGTCTATTGCATTGTCTATTGATAGACCGCTTTTGGAATTTATTGACGTTTTAATTGCGCTATTTTGCTTGTGTTTTTTAGTTGTAATATGGGAATTCCCAATTCAGTTTATTATATATATATATATATATAATATTATATATATATATATATATATATATATGTATATATGTATATATGTATATAGATGTATATATATATATGTATATATATGAATATATATGTGTATATATATATATATATAAATATAAATATATATATATATATATATATATATATATATAAATATATAATATGTTTAGCCCATGGTAGTTGGACTTTTGACCAGTGAGGAGTCCACGGTATTGTGTTGTTGTTGATTGTAAAAGGGGAGGGAGTGTAGAAGTGCTTTAGCGTGAATATTTTGGCAGTTTAATTTAATTTTCCATATGGTTGACCGGTTATCTATTCCGTCTAGATGTTGTATTTTTTCACTAATGGTTTCAATGATTGGCTGGATTTGTAAAATACTGTATCGTCTGTAAATTGTGCTATATGGGTCTAAATTTGTTATCGAACTATCTGACGAGTAGATATTACATAGAGCGGCTGTCCGGGTAAAGCCGCGTCGACGTCTGTGGTGCTGTCGTTTCGACTCTCTTGTCGTGGTCTTCCTCAGGCCAGCCCAGCCCTGAATACATTTATTTTGTGGAACATTGTACGACAACTTAATTTTTAGTGAAATTATATTTTCAATAAAGCGTGTAAGCTTTGAATACTTTTAGGGTGATTTTTATAACAAAACAAATTATGTGAAACCCGACATTTCTCAAGGTGGCAAACATAAAATTTGATTTCAGCACCCCAAAAGCTTATTAAACCGATGAGAATAAAAACTTTCGGAACTTTTTCTGGCCTGGATACTAAATAGTATACTACGTGGCGA